CATTAAACAAAGCATGTGTGTCCATGTATGCTGATGATTCAACCATATACACATCAGCAACCACAGCTAATTAAGTCACTGAAACCCTTAACAATGAGTTGCAGTCTGTTTTGGAATGGGTGGTCAGTAATAAACTGGTCCTGAACAGCTCTAAAACTAAATTCTAGACCTCAGCTGAATCTGGTAATGAATGGTATGGCTGTTGATCAAGTTGAGGAGACTAAATTACTTGGTGTTACCTTAGATTGTAAACTGTCATGGTGAAAACATATAGATTAAATCAAATCAAATCAAATGGTTGTAAAGATGTGGTCCTCTGTAGCTCAGCTGGTAGAGCACGGCGCTTGTAACGCCAGGGTAGTGGGTTCGATCCCCGCGACCACCCATACACAAAAATTTATGCACGCATGACTGTAAGTTGCTTTGGATAAAAGCATCTGCTAAATGGCATATTATTATGGGGAGAGGTCTGTCCGTAATAAAGAGATGCTCTGCTTTTTTGACACCACACTCCACAAAGCAAGTCCTGCAGGCTCTAGTTTAATCTTATCTTGATTATTGTCCAGTCATATGGTCAAGTGCTGCAAAGAAAGTCCTCATTAAGCTGCAGTGGGCCCAGAACAGAGCGGCACGTCTTGCTCTTCATTGTAATCAGAGGGCTAATATTAATACTATGCATGCCAGTCTCTCTTGACTAAGAGTTGAGGAAAGACTGACTGCGTCACTTATTGTTTTTATAAGAAACATTAATACGTTGGAAATTCCAAATTGTTTGCATAGTCAACTTACACACAGCACTGACACACACTCTTACCCCACCAGACATTGCTACCGGGGGTCTTTTCACAGTCCCCAGGTCCAGAACAAATTCAAGGAAACGTACAGTATTATACAGAGCTATGAGTGCATGGAACTCCCATCTTATATAGAGCAAGTTAACAGCACACCTGGTTTAAAAAAAACAAATAAACCAACACCTCTCCCCCATGTGACCTACTTGTTGTGTGTATGTACTGACATGTATGTGTAACTGATAGATGCATACACACACTACATGTTAATGTTTTTAAATGTATGTAAATTGTAAAGTATTTTGTCAGTAATGTATTTTTCGTTAAATGTCGGACCCCAGTAAGACTAGCTTTCGCTATTGGCGTCGGCTAATGAGGATCTTCATAAACTAAATTAAATTAAATAATAAGAAGCTCATGATGCAACCCGATCAGTCATTCTGACTGGTCCTAACTGACAAAAGGGGAGGGGACATTTTTCACTGTGACACCCAAGATATAATAGTACTCAATGTTTTGGTTTTTGTAACTGCATACTGCTGCAGTCCTGCTTACTAGGGGGTTTTGGTCCACCATTTAAAGGTTGAGTACAAACAAGCAAAAACAGAATACAATAAAGGTACAAATATTATGTTCAATATAAATATGTTCAATGTCAATACCTGTTTGATAATACACATATGTCAAAGAACAAAACAGCCACTCCTAGAACACAGTGGAAGTTGAAATAGAAAATGCTTCTTTATCATTTTAAAACCATCATGTTTCAGTAATACTTTCTTCATCATGCTGTTTACAGTTTTTTCCAACTGCTTACACACGTTTTCAAAACGATGTCTCCTTTTTTCAAAACTCTACACACAATTCCCAAAACTGCACACACAAAATGCAAAATGCCTCACATCTCCTTCAAAATGTAACACTGCATTCAAAATGCCATAAACACATGTCAGAATGAAGCATTTGCATCAAATGGCAAACACTTCTTTCATAATAGTACATTTTTGGATATACCATGTAAACACTGTTGTTCTAAATCTAAAGCTCTTTGGTCTTTCATAGGCTTATATATACATTTCAATACAATGTTCTACAGTGAAAGTAATCTGCTGAGAGGGGTAACAAGTACACTGTAAACACCAATGCAATGTAGAAACAGAAAATATTTATTAGGCCAAACATTACTGTTGTATACAGTAGCATACAACAAAACCATAAACATATGTAAACCAAAAGTATATTCTTTAGAATACAGTAAAGAACACAATTGTGTGTGGGGGGTCCCGGGGGTGCAGTCCAGGAAATGGTAGGGGGGGGGGCAGTCACCAGTGCTAAGCTACGCTTCATCTCTTCTCCGGGCTGGGTCTGGCCACAATACTTCGTCCACATCACAAGATACGTTTTCTCTTGCCAAACATCGAGGGAAGTATCTCCTAGCATAGCGTATCCAACCTTGGACAGAGGCAACCTCTATGTCCCCACATGCGTCCTCCATTGCCTGGAGAAGCGGCATGCGGGCATAGGGTTGGCAATCATACACTTTCCAGCGCCAGGCTGAGAAGAATTCCTCTATGGGATTTAGAAAAGGTGAATATGGGGGTAGGTACAAAACTACCAATTGTGGATGGGTGGCAAACCAATTTTGGACCAGAACAGCCCGGTGAAAACTAACATTGTCCCATATAACCACACATCTAGCAGGCTCCTGATCTGGATCAGGGACAAGCATTGTGTAAATTGCATCCAGAAAAATGAGGATATGGCCGGTGTTGTACGGACCCAGTGTGGCATTGTGATGGAGGACCCCGTTTTGAGTGATGGCAGCACACATAGTTATATTACCCCCACGCTGTCCAGGGACATTGGTAATTGCCCTCTGTCCTATTACATTTATTCCGCGGCGCCTGGTTTTGGTGAGGTTGAAGCCAACCTCATCCACATAAATAAATGTACATGGACATCCATCTCCAATACTCTCTGTAACAGACAAAAGGATATACAGATGAGTAAATATGGTATGTCTGAAGTACTGGAAGTAGTGTTGCATACATACCTCTACAAAGTCATGTCGCAGATTCTTGACTCTGTCAGAGTTTCTCTCAAATGGCACCTTGTAAAGTTGTTTCATCATCACTTGGTGCCATTGGAGGACGCGTTGTATGGTCGACAGGCTTACAGCATTGATGTTGTTAAATATGGTGTCATTATTCAAGATATGTTCTCTTATCTCTCAAATCCTAATTGCATTGTTGGCCAAAACCATATTTATAATTGCAGTCTCCTGTACATCTGTAAACAAGCTTCCTCGTCCTCCATGATGTCTTTGCCTTTCCACTCTGTACAAAATTCAAACACAGTATGTGTTCAGCATAGGAACTGTAAACAATGTACACAAAAATGTAGTACAGCATGATAACCAACCTCATTCATTCAATGCAGTGCAGTAAATGGATGGCTTAGAGTTACAAATGTTTATGCAATACTATGCAGTCATACGTATTTTACAGTACATTACTTTAATGCTAAAATAGTCATTAGATAGTTGCATACCTGTTCTCATTTCTGAAGGTTCGAATTATGGACGCCACTGTAAATCGACTCAAGTAGGGCTGGACTCTCAGTCCAGCCTCTCTCATGGTCAAACCGTGGTTGATCACATGATCAACAAGTGTTGCCCTAATCTCATCAGAGATGGCTCTCCTTCCTTCTCTTCTTTGCCCTCGTCCTCTTCTTCCTCTTCCTCTTCCTCTTCCTCTACCTCCTACTCCTCCTCTTCCAACTATTCGTCTTTGAATTTGTCCTCGTTGTTGTCCCCTGCCTCTCCCTCCTACTCCTCTTGCTCTCTGTCCATTGTTGGCATCCATTGTTCAAAACAGTCCTATACTACAGTAAAGCAGTGATTGGTTAGTGATCAGTTAAGCAATTAGTGTTTGAACATGTGAGGAGAGTGTGTTTGACCTGGTGAATAAGTGTAGCATTTTGATTGGTTGTGTTTGGAAAAGGAAAGCAAGTCACTTCCTGTTAGATTTTTGTGTTTTAGGTAGAGAATTGTGTGTAGTGTTTTGAAAAAAGTGTTTTATGCAATTGACAACTGAGTCAAAGGCTGAGAAATAGCTTATGGTTTTGGAGATTTTGTGTGTAGTTTTGCACTTTGAGTGAGAGGTTTCAAAAATCGTGTGACATGAAAAGATTTTGTGTGTAAGCAGTTGGAAAAAACTGTAAATAACCTACAACTCAAAGTCTCATAATGGAGAGCCAGTCTCCAGCACATCTCAGGTGTGTGTGAGATTTCACATCCGTACTCTGCCCCCACTAACCCCCACTGATCTCTGTGCTTACATATCTGGATTCAGTCTAGTGCTGTGGGTTGGTACATACTATAACTGTGTCACTATATTTGGATGGTCTCTTATAGATTGTCTGTTGATCCATAATCCATCCATAAACTGTCTGTTAGATGTAGTGTAAAATATGACTCTGTTTACTATCTTACCCTCATCCTTCTTCCCTAATCCCAGAAAAGTCCATCATCTCCTTGCATGTCTTGATAAAGGTTGACTTGACTGAAAGGTTGTTACATAAATTCATTGCAGAGATAAATGTGTGTGGGAATCATTTTATCATTGATGATAACTGAGAGATTAATATGTGTGGTGGTCGTACATGTTAACTTTGAGAATGACTCTCAGAGCTACTGAGCCAGAACTGGAATTCCACCGTCTGCAATTACTGAACGACGGGGAGCAGGAGAGGTATTTGGGGTGGAAGAGAGAAAGTGGGAAAGGTGAAAGAGAGGGAGGTTGAAAAGAAGGGGTAAGGATGTGTGAAATCATATCTGAACCCCAGGAGGAGGCCTTTGTCTGCCCATACACTCCTGACTGGTATTACTCTGTGTGTGTGTGTGTGTGTGTGTGTGTGTGTGTGTGTGTGTGTGTGTGTGTGTGTGTGTGTGTGTGTGTGTGTGTGTGTGTGTGTGTGTGTGTGTGTGTGTGTGTGTGTGTGTGTGTGTGTGTGTGTGTCTGTGTGTGTGTGTGTGTGTGTGTGTGTGTGTGTGTGTGTGTGTGTGTGTGTGTGTGTGTCTGTGTCTGTGTCTGTGTGTGTGTGTGTGTGTGTGTGTGTGTGTGTGTGTGTGTGTGTGTGTGTGTGTGTGTGTGTGTGTGTGTATGGTGGTGATGGTGTATGTGTGCCAAACAAAGCATGAACATAACGTTTTTATACGCTTACTTTATTCTAAAATAAACATACACGAGTATACTTTAAATGAAATGATACATCAAATAATAATAGTGAATATTAGATGAAGAAAACGCATGGTAAATAAATGTAGGCAACAGAAAAACACATTTGACCTGATTACATTCAGCAAACTGGCCATTACTAAGGAAAGGACCTGTACAGGAGACAGTGCTTTCAGCACCCGGAGTACAGAAAATTCGCCATAGTCAATAACAAAACACATCTTCCATCCACACTAAATCATATTGGCACTTAACTAAATCGAATGCATGTATAGTAATATCCTCAATCTGGGCTACATGTACCACTTCCAAACAGCTTTTACAAGGTGTGCCATCCTTCTCATCAGTTAGGGACATTTAGGAATCTCTCTTTCTGTTGTTTTTATAAGTGGTATACTAGCTACAGTACAGTACACATCCATGTTCAAAGATAAAACTACATGCAACAGTTTGTCTGAATGGTACATTTCATGCAAGAGAAAAAGACATGCCCACGGACACTTTTGACAAAATATGTCCATGTAGGATGTGACACTGTGGGATCTGTGTATAACAGTCAAAAACATACACACAAACACGCATGTTAGAAGGCACTGCAGTGGAGAATATGTAGTAGAAAGGCTGGAGGTGGTGGTATATACACCTGAGCACTTCTGTATTCTATGTTCTATAAACACACCCTGAATGACTTCCTCTCACAGAAACTAAAGACAGACTACAAACAGACAGAATTACAGATTCAGGTTCACTCGCTTTCAGTTATCCAAATAGCAGTTATTTGTCATATGTGAGCACAGATAATACCTGTGCAGAATACCCTTTAATATTGCTTGTGTACAAAACTGATTCAAAAATACATTGATAAACATTTAACACATGGGCATCTTTAAGAATTGTAAAATACTAGCTACCCATTAGGGTTGGTCTGCAGATGTATTACTTCAAAAGTGTATTCTGAGTTTATTTTGTTTGCTTTCTGAGAGTGTCTTTTTTCTATTGAGAGTGTCTTGTCTGCTTCTGTTTTCTATTGAGAATGTCTTGTCTGCTTCTGTTTTCTATTGAGAATGTCTTGTCTGCTTCTGTTTTCTTAGAGAGAGTATCTTGTCTGTTTGTGTTAGACAGTGTCTTGCCTGTTGCCAAAAATCTAACACATCGTGGGGCCAAAGGAGTCACCCAAACTACAAGTATTCCTCCTTTTTCTCTGGTGGGGAATGTTTAACATTTTGTCTGCAATTTAAAAGAAAAAACATGTTTCAGTAAATGTACACTTGTATACTCAGAGAACAAAACCAAAATGCACATTTCTACCAACCCAGAAATCACAGGATATTAGTGAAGCAGAAATCAACATAATATAATGACAATACAAGTCTCACTCATACAGTTAAAGTTCAGTCAATAACAGATAAAAGGATATCATGGACTTTCTAGTAAAGGGTTCACAGGCTGAAATACAGTGAAATACCGCCCCTCTAGTCTTAAGGGTCTAACCACCTAACCACACTTCTCCTTTAAGAGTCTATATTTACAAACAGGCTCAGGGGGTGGGGGTGGGGGAACGGAAGAGGCAAGCTCTTAAAGGGGTGGCGGACATTGTGTTGACCCTTAATATCAGACACTGATAAGGTGCAGACATTTAGGAAGGGGGTGTGGGGTTGGTGGGGGGGGGGGGGGGGGGGGCAGAGAGGGAGCGACATAAACTATAGCGGAGAGACAAGGGTCCAAATTTTGAATCTAGGAAGGAACAGGAAAAGGGGAGACAGTGAGCGGAACTCGGACAGTCCTGGGGGACAGGCAGGGGGTGGTCAGTCAGGGAAACTAGTCTCACTCAACAACTCTGCCCTGAATTAGGGAAGAGAAGAAGACAGGCAGAGAAGAACAGCATTAGAGGAGACGAGACGAGAGGGGAGAGAGAGACACACATCAAGACCTCACTGATTCACAGATACAGGAAGCTCTCTGGTGTTAGTGAGTGAATGAGTGCTTGATGTTACATGCTAGGTAAGGAAAAATGAGAAGAGGTGCTAGCTAGCCAGGCTGCGCTAGATGTGAAGAGGTGCATGCTAGTTAGGCTGTGCTAGCTCTGTGGTTAGTTACTGAGTGAAGATGGTTGAAGTGTTTTTGAAAGAGAAAGGTTGTTGAACCTAAATTAAGGGTTAAGGATGGAGAAATTGGTGGATGCTGATGAGTCACAGCACACAGATCATTTGTAATGTAATGTGTTCTATGGCATGGAATTGATCAGATATTATGTCGAAATGTGTTGGGTTTATGATGGTTGGTTTTGTTTTGTTTTTATGTTTTTATGTTTTTATTCTTAATAAAAGCCTATGAAGGACAATGTTTTATGAACCATAAAGCGGGGTGTTAGACACAAAACCTTTCCAGGTTTCCAACTAGTTGCCTAATCTTTCTCTTACATTGAATAAAGAAACCGGTCTTGTTGAAACCAGAAACGTGTTATCTGACAGCTAGGAACTCTTGGCTTATTGTTGATATATACCTATTCATTTGAGGTTTGGGAGTTGAGGTCTTAAAAATAAGAAACGTTTCTGGAGAATGCTGTTGATGGTGGTTCAACATTTTATTGTTCATTTTGAAGACACTTAAACATACTTAAAAGCAAAGAAAATAAGAAAAAGGTCATGGCTAGTAAGTAACTAGATGTTTCAGATCAGTAAGACCTACTTTAGGTACACACAAAGTTTTTAAAAACATAACAAATATTTAATTATTTTCTTTGGGCTTTTAGCTAGTTCAGTCACATTTGTCATTTGGTAATGACTCTTAGAGGACATCTGCTGTTGACAGGCTTGTAATGGTCAACCCCCCCCCCCCCCCCTTCATTTAGCAGAAGTGGAGGTTGTCCTTCAGGCCTATGTACCCGCATTCTGAGTACAATGGAACACTCCATACACAAAGACTTTACTAAGAAGAGGGGCCAGACGACCAGAAAACGGGGGGCATGGAAAGGTTCTTAGAAAAGTTCAATGGTTCTGTTATCGGAAGCACGATTAACCAACCCTTTAACCCAAATGAATAATGATGAAGAGCGATGAAGAGTCAGGGGTGGTGGGTGGTGGGTGGTGGATTCAAGCAGAGAAATGTGTGGGTTGAGTTGGGGTTCAGGAGGTCTAGATGGCCTGAGTAGAGGCTCAGTGAGTGACTGAAAGTACAGTATTTTAGCATAGAATAGAGTAGTATAAAATAGAATTTCAATGTCCATTGAAAATTAACGTTTTCTTTAAGAGTATTTGCCTTTAGAGCACACAAGGAATAAAACCATGAGTTTAACTGAATATAACAGTGTGTTTTTATAAGAGGTCAGCCAGTAGTCCTTAGCCTGTGCCGTCTCTGAGGTATGTAACATGTGAAGGGTGGGTATTGGGTAGACTTTCATGGATGTGTTAACGAATGGAACATGATGTTAAGGCATGCAATAACGGGCATCTCTCTCTCGTTAAAACAACATTTATTTTAGCTCACATATTTTACCCTTTTCTGTATATCTGATTCGAACTGATGACATCATTAAATGCTGCTTATCCAAACCTTATCAAACTTCAAGAAAAATAGTTCAGAGAAGAATTTCTGTTCTATTCGGAATGTCAGCCCTGTATGATGTCATCAACTACATTCGATTGGAATGTTCAAATGTGTTAAAAGACACAACGCAACACACACATAGACACAGCTCCAACCAGGAAGCATAGGCATTCTGCCAAAGCCACGAAAAAACTGTATTTGTTTGTATTTTTTATTTTATCATATTTGTCCCACAATTTACCTTCAGGCATTCTGCCATAAAAAAAATCCCTATGCCTCCTGTACACAGTAATTACTTTGGCAATACTTTATCGGTTCTGTTTTAGTTTTTAGTGTGCAAAGAGTAAGACTGTTTTACAAACAGTTTTGCTTCATTCACATATATAATAAAGTATAAAAACAGAATTATTAACTGAATGAAAAATCTTAGGATCAAATTCAGATGACATCCAGTATCTGTTTAGTAACGTTTAATGACTTTTACACCACATGACAGATTTTATTAACATAAAACGCTTTAAAAGGATAATTGAGCAAAATCACCATCCTCTCAATGACAAGTATTGCAATAAAATATAAAAGTTTCAGCTCAAGAATATGTTCCATAGAATAAATGGCATTATACAATGTCATTATAAAAGCCTCTGAATTCCTAAAAGTTTCTAAAATCCAAAGGATACTTGGTGGAGACTGTGTGCTTGTGTGTGAATGTGTGTGTGTGTGTGTGTGTGTGTCTGTGTGTGTGTGTATGTGCAAGTGTTTGTGAGCTTTACACATCAGTTAAAGAGAAAAGGGGGAGGAGCAAAGTGTGGCCTCTGCTCTCTGTTTGGGTGGCTGCTGGGAGGGGGTGGGTTTACACGTACTCCCTGGCTGTGGATGGTTGTGATTGGCGGTAGTACTGCTGCCCTCGCCTCTCCTCACTGGAGCAGGAGCAGCACAGGAAGGATCCACCCAAAACCGTCAAGCTGGCCGCTGCCCATCCCACAAACAGGGCTGACCCAAACTCATACCTGCAGTGGAAATGGTCAAATCTGTCTTTAATATGGTTTTTACAGTACTATTAGACATTATATATATTATTCAGAGAGAAACTGAGTGGTGGATACAGAGTGTGACCAGTGTGATAGGGTTACCTGGCATTGACCGGCGTGTTTGGGTTGAAGAACTGATAGGACACCTGAGTGGCGTACCAGGACACGGACACCAGCGTACACAGACCTGCAGAGAGAGACAACGTATGCACTCATACACACACACACACACACACACAGTGCAGCAGTAAAAGCACTCTGTGTAATGACTCTGAGGTTGTTTTTCTCTCTGTCAGGCTCATGGTTGTCTCTGAGGTCAGGGGAGCTAATGTGTCCAAAATCACCACTTCCTGTTTACAGTTGGGACCCTTATTACCCAGAAGACCGCTGGTGAGAGTTTCTGGTCAGAAGAATGCAAGATATGAGCCCTGAAAGACTGGTTCCACTCAAACAGTAAAAGTGAGAGTAAGATGGTGAATGCTCATAAATGATAGAGAGATAACACGCTCTTAAGTACAACTCACTGTAGTACTTGAACCTTTAGCTTAGGGAGTGGTACTTTACCATTATACATGTTCTAATAAAGTTGGTAGAGCATGGCATTTGCAATGCCAGGGTTGTGGGTTCGATTCCCACAGGGGGCCAGTATGAAAAAAATAAAAAAATAAATGTATGCACTAAATGTAAGTCGCTCTGGATAAGAGCGTCTGCTAAATTACTAAAATGTAAATGTAAATGTAATAGCCTTTTAAGTTGTGGGTGTTGTGGTGGTTAATAAATCAGCAAGCAGCACAGTATGGTGGTCACATTACTAGCATTACACAGTGGAAATATGTGTTATCATGCAGGTGCCCACACCCTTGCTCCAGAGTTATGTTTGTTTCTTTAATCACATGACAGTCACATGACGGTCACCTGACATTGGTCTCACCTGTGAGTAGAAAGAGGGCTCCTCCAGACACAGCGATGAGCCCCTTGGAGGTGGGGTTATTGTCGCCCACCTTAGTGCACTTCATCCCCACCACACTCACTATCATTCCTATGAAGCCCAACAGCACGGACACCACCATGAGAGCACGACACGTCTGGATGTGCACTGTGGGTGGGGGGGGGTGGGGGTGGGGGGGGGGGGGGGGGGGGGGGGGGGGGGGGGGGGGGGGGGGGGGGGGGGGGGGAGCAGACAGAATATATAAGAGTGGGGTGGTAGCAGGGAGGGCATAAAGAGGAAAAAGGGTTGAGAGGGTCAAGGGAATGATAAAAATAGAAAGAGGAGGGGAAGAGAGAGGACAACAGAATGGGTCTGTTAGGGCTTCAGATGGCAAGGAGATCAGAGAGACTACAGGGTACAAACAGAATATCTACACACAGCCTGGTATACAGTATTTATATAGAATATCTACACACAGCCTGGTATATTTATATAGAATATCTATACACAGCCTGGTATATTTATATAGAATATCTACACACAGCCTGGTATATTTATATAGAATATCTACACACAGCCTGTTATATTTATATAGAATATCTACACACTGGGTATATTTATATATAATATCTACACACTGGGTATATTTATATAGAATATATACACACAGAGTATATTCAATGTCTAGATTTCTCAGTATCAGGGGTTAAATTGGGGCAGAACAGGAGTGGAACAGAGATTTCTGTGCAAAACATAATTGGAAAAGCAACCAACCAATCAAAACACAACCACCACATTGTAAATCAATGTGAAATCATAAATCAACTTCTTAAGACAATACAACTTTTGAACACAAAACTGGAGACAACAAAGATACACATTCTCCACATCTTTATTCTTTCTCCCTCTCTCTTTCTATCTGACTCTTTCTTTCTCTCTTATCTCCCTATTGTTCTCTCTGTCTTTCTCTCTATCTTTCTCTCTCTCTCTCTCTCTCTTCTCTCTCTCGCTCTCTCTCTCTCTCTCTCTCTCTCTCTCTCTCACACACACTCTCTCTCTCTCTCTCTCTCTCTCTTTAAGAACTCATTATGTTTCCACTTCCATGTTACAGAATGGGATAATAACGTCAGTCTTAGACCTCTTAAGGATCTAAATGACATACCCAAATCTAACTGCCTGTAGCTCAGGACCTGAAGCAAGGATATGCATATTCTTGATACCATTTGAAAGGAAACACTTTGAAGATTGTGGAAATTTGAAATTAATGTAGGAGAATATAACACATTAGATCTGGTAAAAGATAATACAAACAAAAAAACATGCGTTTTCTATTATTATTATTTTTTATAATCTTTGAAATGCAAGAGAAAGGCCACAATATAATATTGCAATTTAGGCGCAATTTAGATTTTGGCCACTAGATGGCAGCAGTGCGTGTGCAAAGTTTCAGATTGATCCAGTGAAGCATTGCGAAACTGGACTATTTTGTATCAAGTCTGCCCAAATGTGCCGAATTGGTCAATTGATACATTTTAAAGTACATAACTATAGAGAACATACAAAAATGATATGGTAATAAAAAATGTAAGTTTACACACTCCCAGGAATGTCATACATGATGGATCATTAGCTTATACACTAACTTTCACACATCTAGATGGCCGGGTGGGGTGTGTGTGGAGCCAGAAACAGCAGGGGTTCAAACTGTAGAGCCCAGTTCCTACATTTGAATATAAACATTTATTTTATCAAACAAATCTATGCTACATTTTATCTCTGGGACCCTTAGGATGACAAATCAGAGCAAGATTACTGAATGTAAGTACATTATTTACCTTCAGAGGTGAATATATCAAACCAGTTGCCGTGATAAGTTTTTTGTTGTTGTGCACTCTCCTCAAACAATAGCATGGTATTATTTCACTGTAATAGCTACTGTAAACAGTGCAGTTAGATTAACAAGAATGTAAGCTTTCTGCCCATTTAAGACATGTCTATGTCCTGGAAAGTTTGCTGTTACTTACAACAGTCATGCTAATCACATTAGCGCACGTTAGCTCAACCATCCCGTATACGGGACACCGATCCCATAGAGGTTAACTGTCACTCTCAATCATTCAAAATTAATCCACAGGGGTTTCATCGCTCAGAATTCCATGGATAACCCACACATAACTCAGTGGGCGGGACATTTTACATATTTACTCACTCACTCACTCACTCACACACACACACACACACACACACACAAATACATAACATACGGATACATTCTGTAGGAGGACACAACGTACACACACAAACATACATACACAAACATACAGTACATACTCATTTTCTGTCACACACACTGTAGGAGGGCCCGTTTTACATGTTTCAGACAGTGGGATTAGTGTAGCTTTGTCACAAAGCGGGATTGTTTTCACAGGGCTGTCGCCACAGTGATCAGACACTGCGGCCTGCAACACACACTCACACAGCAGCCCTGACAACAGAAACTACACTAACACAATGTGAAAACAACACCAGTACAACGCTAATACTGCATTAATATACTCACCAAGACCTTACAAACTGCAGACACTACACCAACATTTTTTATCTAGTTCACAGCTCAATGTTAGATTAACACTCTCTCACACCATAATCCACGTGCATTAACCATGAAAACAGCAACACATATCTATATCTTCACAAATTACACATTTCTACAGTGTTGCCAACAAATTAAGCTACAACAATATAAAAGACTACATTCATTTGCCACTGGTATAGCCCTTCCAATGCCTAAACATCACACAAGAAAACCACAGCACAATACTACAACCACAGACAATAATTGACATTTTAGTCAATCAGGAGACACTCTTATCCAGAGCAACTTACAGTAGCAAGTGCATATATTTTCATACTTTCTTCATACTAGTCCCCTGTGGGACTCAAACCCACAACCCTGGTGTTGCAAGTGCCTGCTCTACCAACTGAGCTACACGGGACTATAATCTAACAGCAGACCAAATTATTACACATTAGAATAGAATAGAACAGAATAGAATAGAATAGGAGAACTACATAGTATAATTGAATACTGACATTGACAGTGTGAGAAAAGGTACATCAAATACAACTGGAGAACAATAGTCTATCCAACAAACTTAAGTCATAATTTACATTGATGGGAAAACACACTCACACATTCATAGTTTAGCAATAAATCACATCTTAGAACCTGATCTGAAAGGGCTAGTGATGGGCGGATGGGCTTTGAAGTTTGATTTATGTGTGGCAGGATCTGTTTGAAGGAGAATTTTAATGGTTTATGAGAGAAAGAGGTTTTATTTTCTCTTTCTCCATTCTCTCTTTCATCCTGTTTGGGCTGATCGTACAGGGCACCACTCTGATCAACGGAATAACAGAGGAGTCAAGGGCGTGTGTGTGTGTGTTCCTCCCACTATACTCTACCCCCTGTCAAGGCTGGTAGTGCCAGGCACAAGCTGTATGTGTGTGTGTGTGTGTGTGTGTGTGTGTGTGTGTGTGTGTGTGTGTGTGTGTGTGTGTGTGTGTGTGTGTGTGTGTGTGTGTGTGTGTGTGTGTGTGTGTGTGTGTGTGTGTGTGTGTGTGTGTGTGTGTTGTGTGTGTGTGTGTGTGTGTGTGTGTGTGTGTGTGTGTGTGTGTGTGTGTGTGTGTGTGTGTGTGTGTGTGTGTGTGTGTGTGTGTGTGTGTGTGTGTGTGTGTGTGTGTGTGTGTGTGTGTGTGTGTGTGTGTGTGTGTGGACGATGGATATTGTCCTTTGTGAGATGACTTGGGACTTCATACGTAACATTGGTTTGCCCACTCCATTAAAACAGAAAACCATTCCAACAACTCTACCTTCATTCTATTAATGTAAATGTCAGTGTGACACAAGCTTTGTGGAATAGTGTAGAATAAGCTTATGGGCACTGATATATGGATGAAGATTGTCACGTGAGCCTTCAGCTTCAGAAGCATATTTTACATCTACAGCACCAAAGGGCCATATCAGCACTCCTGTCCAGTTGGCAAGAAACAAAACCACACTCAGCTATAGACAGAGAGAGAGAGGGATACTGGAAAGAGAGACAGCAAGCTACTGGAGAGAGAGAGAGAGAGAGAGAGAGAGAGAGAGAAGAGAGAGAGAGAGAGAGAGAGGGAGAGAGAGAGGGAGAAGGAGATGAACAATGTGTGCAAGTACATAGCTGCTCTCTACTGATGACCTCACAATGGCCAGCAGGATAACAAGGGATGGGAGCATGGTGTGATGGGAGGGGGGAACATCAGACCATCCACCATCTCATCAGCCTGTGTGGGCTGGGGGTCAGATATTCCACTGTAATATCCAGAATATCCTCCATGTTGCCACCAAACATTCCTTGACAGTTCAAATGTTTACCTATAAAATAATGTCAATATCTTTGATGTCAATATATATATAATTGTGCCAATATGGAGTCCACTGCCAGGGGATTCTAAATCTCCGACCATACCAAAGTCTGTGTATTTATAAGGCTGTAGGAGAGAGTGCTCTACGACTTGGACAGTATTTAACACTAAGCTGTCAAGAAAAGAGAACCTTCTTTGATGTTCACCTCAAAGGGATACCCTGGTCCTCAAACCTGGCAAAACAGTTCCACTCATGTAACAGTAGTATAGTAACCTAGCTGTACAGTGGACCTGGATTTATTTGCTTTATTTTCCCCAGAGCCAGATAGAGAGAGGTTGGCCATTATTCTGTCATCCAAAAAGCATGATGTGACATAACATGATTCCAAGGCAGCCATTTTAGCATCTCCTGAAAAATCTTGACAAATAACAGCTCAGCGATATCATCAGAAGCAGAAGCAGCAATATGGCATCCATCTCTAAAGTTGGCTAAAATCTACCTATATTGTATATTGACCCTGTTGTGTCCTGTATAGCACCAGTACTGGTGTGGTATTGTACACTGCCTAATGCAGTACAGAGGTTTCATTCACTGCAGAGCCCAGAGAACTGAGAGCTAGGGTGGGTTGTGACGAATACCAGGCAGTATCTGCCTCTGAGACTCTGAGACAGCAACAAGTAGAATAACTGTTCTTTCAGCACCACTGTTCAGACTAGAATGAAACAAAGCAGGATAAGACAGTGTAAAAAAAAAACTCTAGATTCCTCAGGAACTGTAGTGTCTGTACAGGGAGTAGTATCCTTCTTTTTGTCATTCTAGTGTCCAGACATAGTCAAAAGCCTCTCAGAACAGCTTCTCACAGCTTTGATAAAACATTTTTACATTGTCACAGGTTTTGAAAATGAATTGCCAATTAATCAGATATCTGAAAAAAGTCCATCAGCTTCCACTGCAGTGCTTTGGTACACTCCAACAACACAGTCTGGTGAACAATTAGCCCTCATCACATGTTCCTCATGCTGTGTAGTGAAGGAGAAGGGTTCATTTAGCACAATATGAAAGGCACCTGCAGGAACTGCTAAACACACACAACAGACGTTCAACTCCAGTACAAACGCTTCAGCACACACACACACACACACACACACACATACACACACCTTGCATCCAAGACCAGTACTGAGTCTGAACATACCATAACAGGAAGAGATGTTGGTAAGACTTTGAGTTCACTCAACAGTGGAATAGAGTGAGTACGTGCCAAATGGTACAGTTCAGTGGTTTAATCTCTTAGCCCGGTTACCCGACCTACACTCAACAACATGCCTTGCTTGACCAGACAGCAACAAGTAGCAGAAACCATGCTAGTATAACAAGGGGTAAACTTTTCAAAAGTTGGTACCAAAGTGTGTTATGCTGTTTGCTCTCACTCGCTCGTTTTCCACTAAGACAAACACACACACAGGGTGTGTTAGGGCCGGACAGGAACAATGCGTGTGTGGGGGGAAGACAGAGCACATTCTGAGAATATCTCTGGTGTTTGGCTCAACACTGGGCTTTTCTTCTCCAAACAACCACTATTCATCACAGGGACAATACTCTGTTTTTATTACGCCGATGAGCTAAAGGAGACGCGAGCTCCAGCTCACCCCTCGCAGAAAAAGCCACAGAAAATGTTTTGATATAATTACATTTACATTTTATATATAATGAATTGCACAGCGGCCAAATGTTAGCCTGATTGTTTTTTTGGGGCGGTGTGCGTCACAGGGATTAACATGGGTATCCATGTTTCTTAACAAACCACAAAGAAAAACAGAAAACTCCAAAGGACGACAACCATTCTGATTTACAGACAAATTATTTGACCAAGTCCTCCCCCAGCTTTTCATTACCCTAATGGGGTAATCAGTGGAGACAATAGATGTGTGAATTCATGTAATCTGCCTGCCATTAATTATGAGTCAGTAGGTCTATGCTAAACAGATTGGAGATGACAGGAACCTTATATTCAGGGCTAATTTATGCCTGAACCCCACATTCCTCTCTCCCTCCCTCCCTCTCTCCCTCTCTCCCTCTCTCCTGCTCTCTCTTTCTTTCTCGCTCCCTCTCACCCTCTCTCTCTTTCTCTCCCTCTGCCTCTTCCTCTTTCTCTGTCTTTCTCACCCCTCCCTCCCGCCCTCCCTCTCTTAATTAAACATGCCAACAGCAGCACTTTTTATCTGATAGATTTATGCCTGACTTTAATGTGTTCCAGACAGTTGTATTAGTTAGATTGTTTTATCAACTGTTTATGCATTCAGTTTCTGAATCATACAAATAGTCCAATGGATAATTTGATCATGATGTTTCTACAAAACACTACCCTCTATAAATCAACCCAGTTAATGGCCCATGTTGGGAATTGGGTAAACAGATATGTTATATGAGAATCAACAGCTATAAGGCATCTCATAACATAATGACCAACCACTGACAGATACATAACTGTCCATACACAGGCATCTAAGACTGCTTTGGATGACATTTTTATTCAAACTATGGCAGTGAGAGAGAGAGAGAGAGAGAGAGAGAGAGAGAGAGAGAGAGAGAGAGAGAGAGAGAGAGAGAGAAAGAGAGGAGCGAGAGAGAGAGAGAGATAGATCTCTCTCTCCTTTCTCTTCTCTCTCTTCTCTTTCTCTCTCTCTCTCCTTCTCTCTCTCTCTCTCTCTTGTCTCGCTCTCTCTACCTCTCTAGGTCTGTTCCTTTTGTTTCCCTTCTTCCCCCTTCTTCCTTCCGTCCCTCTCCCGCTCTCTAGAGAAGATAGAACGTTTGAAGTTGGGTTAGGGATAGAAAGCGAGATAATGACAGGTCACAAGTGTATGAGTGATCGTTGCGATGTCCTACTCACCATCCAGTGACAACATGGAGTCAAACACCTTGCACTGCACCTGTCCTGTACTCTGGGAGGCACAGCTCATCCACAGGCCCTCATAGAGCCCCACGGCCGTGATGATGGCGTCGCCCGCGTACGAAGACTGCTTCCACTGGGGCAGAGCCGTGGTGGAGATGATGCCTATCCAACCTCCCAACGCCAGGAAGTAACCCAGTAACTGGAAACCCGAGTTTGCCATCCTGTCTTTTTGTCTATCTGTTTTTGTCTGTCTCTAGCTTTGTTTTTCTCTCGCTTACTTTCTGTTTACTTCTTTATTTCTTTCTAAATGTATAGCTTTCTTTCCTTTCTATTTATCTGTCCTCTTTCTGTCCTTCTTTTCTTTGGCCACTATTTTGTCCACTTCAGAACACCTGTAGCAGTCTCGTAACACAGTGTTTCCACACACAGGTAATACTGTTGGCAGGGTGAAACACAGAACTCCCCAAAACTTTTTCTCAGATCTCCCGTTGTCTCTCAGAGCCACAGAACCAAAGTCAAACACCACTTTACAGACAATCCAGATTTCAATACAACCCCAGGCAACTCTCTCCAGTTGGTCTCTATGGCGTTTCTAGATTTCTTCCATTAGGTTCTCCTTAAGTGATGGAGGTCACTGGTCCGGGAGTAGTATCTGAGCATTCTAATTCGAGCTGCAGCTCATCACACAGATGCCGTCTCATGCTCTATCTCTGAGTCGTAGCTACGGCCTAAGAGAGCGTGAAGCATAGAGAGAGGAGCGATAATATAGAGATCGAGCTATATGATAGTCTATCTCGACTATCTGCTATCTCTAGTCTCGTCTCTCTGATCTATCTCTCTCTCTCTCTATCTATCTCTCTCTCTCTGTCTCTCTCTCTCTATCGTTTCCTCTCTTTTCTCAGTTGGGGTTGTGTGGGTTCGGGTCTTGGGGTTGACCAGACTGCTGCTTTCCTGGTTGTCTGGGGTGATCAGGTCGTCAGGCTCGGTCGCTAGGCTCACTGGGCTTCCTCAGATACTGCATGGTTTCTCCTGACTCTCTATCTTTCTCTTTCTCTCATCAACACTCTCTCCATCTGCTCCGCACTTCGAGGGCTGAACGAGGGATAAAAATAGAAAAAGTTTATGCACACAAAAAGCCCCTAACAGGTTGGGCACAGAGGGGGCCAAGAGCTGAGCTCTGATTGGCTCCTTCTGTGTTCTAGGAACGCCCAATGGGAAGGAGAGAGGAGAGAGGGCAGGATGGGGTAAGGGGGGTCTAGGGAAAGAGAGAGAGAGAGAGAGAGAGAGAGAGAGAGAGAGAGAGGAGAGAGAGAGAGAGAGAGAGAGAGAGATTATACTGAGTGGAGTTCAGAGGTAAAGCAAAACCACACAACACAAAACTCTAAACTCTTTCCAAGCTCCCATAGCAGTCAAACCCAAAGCATCACAACTTTAGAGAAATGCCAGTAGACTTTCGATGTTCTCAACTTCTGTTACACAATATTATTTCTATTAGGGAAAGTCTATAATGATATGAAAGTACACATTTCTGAAAGTTGTCTTTGCATTCTGTAGTGTATTGTTAGGTCTGTTGTTAGTTGTTGTCTGGTCTATCAGATGTTAGATGTTGTCTGTGTCAAACCCTGTAAATGTTTGAACCCTGTTGTCTAAGCATCGGCACCGTAAGCTGACAAATACACATAAAAGTCAGCATTAAACCGACGAGTGTGTAAAAAGGACATGTCACACCTAGACAACCCCTTTGGAAATTATGGTCTGGCCCAGCAAAATTCTTCCCATCCCCATGGAAACCTGTACAATTGAGTCCCCGGAGTGAGAGAGGGTGGGGCAGATGGGGGGGGGGGGGGGGGGGGGGGGGGGGTAGATAGATAGATAGATAGATACTGTAGATACTGTAGATAGATAGATAGATTAAGCTTGAATTGGGACTTTCAAGTGTGTAAGGACGTATGTTGTTTTTATTCTGAATGTCAGTACTGAGGTTTCCCTTGAGAATTGTGTTTTTCAATTCAACATAGTTTAATTGAATCCAATGTACCCTGTTACTGCCAATTAGATGGTCAACACACTGTCTGGGAAACGTTACAGTTTTTTCACATCTCTAAGAGACATCTCACATCCCCTCCTTACACACACATATGATCCACCCACCCTCAAAACACAAAACACTGTTCCCACACACATGTAACAAGTGTTGAATTGGATTTTATATAATCTGAACAGTTCCCATGCCTGATATTAGTGTACATTCCCTTTGTTGTTGTAAGTGCCCTTTTTAATGTCGCACACTTCCTTGTCTTTCTGTATTCCCCTCATAAACATCCCCTGCCCCCCTTACCTCTTCTCTGTCTACTGTAACCATGTGGAAGAGGTACGTTACAGTAAAATTGTCCCATGAAAATCAATCCTATGTTAAAACACTTAGAATTAGTTTATATGGTCACTGACAGTGTATTATAATGATCTCCCAGGATTGTATTGTGATATGTATGCATTTCAAATCAACTGCCGAGCAGTTGCCATACCAGGCGGTGATGCAACCGGTCAGGATGCTCTTGATGGTGCTGCTGTATAACTTTTTGAGGATCTGGGGACTCTTGCCAAATCTTTTCAAACGACTGTTTTCGTGTGTTTGGACCATGATAGTTTGTTGGTGATGTGGACACCAAGGAATTTGAAACTCTCGACCCGCTCCACTACAGCCCCGTCGATGTGAATGGTGGCGTGTTCAGTCATTTCAGTCATTAACTTTGTATCTGTTGATTATTGAATACTGTACATGCTAGCTAGCTAGCTACTGTACATTTTACTGTGCGTGTCGTCATTGGGCATGGCTATCCCCTTGTTAATTTGTACTTTGCAGAAGAGTTGGCGTATAAATGCAGCACAGCATGTGTTTATGGACGTTTTTTCTGTCATTATCAGGTATGTCATGTGTTTTTGTTTGTTGAACTACGTTGATGATATTTTACTGTTAGTTGTTCATAAGTGCATGTCACTGTACTGTACGTAACACCTGGCTGTCACTGGGAAAGTTGGCTAGACTATAGGCTATTCTGTACATTTCTATTTCATACTGTACATTGTGTTTGCATTACATTGTACTGTTAGTCATGAGATTATTGTTATATTGCGCCCTGTCTACTGTACCATATGAAAGAGAGGAGTTGGCGTATAAGGGCAGCACAACATTTGATTTCTGTCCGTTTTTCCTGTAATTACCAGAGAATAAAAGATGGAGGTTTTTCCTGTCATTATCAGAGAATAAAAGATGGAGGTTTTTCCTGTCATTATCAGAGAATAAAAGATGGAGGTTTTTCCTGTCATTATCAGAGAATAAAAGATAGAGGTTTTTCCTGTCATTATCAGAGAATAAAAGATGGATGTTTTTCCTGTCATTATCAGAGAATGAAAGCAAATCTCATGCTATTTTACACTCTTTGCCATGAGGCTGAGAGAAAATATTGCTGTTTTAAAGCAAATTTCCTGCTATTCTACACATTTTGCCATGAGGCTGTTTAAAAGCTACATTTCATTCATTCCCAAAAAAGTGTTCATATACTATACTATATATACGATATATATACACTACATGACCAAAAGTATGTGGACACCTGCTCGTCAAACTTCTCATTCGAAAATCATGAGCAGTTGGTTGGTTCCCCCTTTGCTGCAATAACAGCCTCCACTCTTCTGGGAATGCGTTCCACTAGATGTTGGAAAGTTGATGCGGGGACTTGCTACCGTTGAGCCACAAGAGCACTAGTGAGGTCGGGCACTGATGTTGGGCGATTAGGACTGGCTCGCAGTCGGCGTTCCAATTCATCCCGAAGGTGTTCGATGGAGTTGAGGTTAGGGCTCTGAGCAGACCAGTCAGGTTCTTCCACACTGATCTCGACAAACCATTTCTGTATGGACCTCGCTTAGTGCATGGGGTCATTGTCATGCTGAAACAGGAAAGGGGCTTCCCCAAACTGTTGCCACAAAGTTGGAAGCACAGAATCGTTGAGAATGTCATTGTATGCTATAGCGTTAATAATTCCTTTCACTGGAACTAAGGGGCCTAGCCTGAACCATGATAAACAGCCCCAGACCATTATTCCTCCTCCACCAAACTTTACAGTTGGCATTATGCATTCGGGCAGGTAGCGTTCTCCTGGCATCCGCCAAACCCAGATTAATCTGTCGGACTGCCAGATGGTGAAGCGTGATTCATCACTCCGGAGAACGCGTTTCCACTGCTCCAGAGTCCAATGACGTCAAGCTTTACACCACTTCAGCCGACGTTTGGCTTTGCGCATGGTGATCTTAGGCTTGTGTGTGACTCCTCGGCCATGGAAACCCATTTCATGAAGCTCCTGATGAACAGTTCCTGTGCTGACGTTGCTTCCAGAGACAGTTTGGAACTCGGTAGTGAGTGTTGCAACCGAGGACAGACGATTTCTACGCGCTACGCGCTTCAGCACTCGGTGGTCCCAACTTGTGTGGCCTACCACTTCGCGGCTGAGCTGTTGTTGTTCATAGACGCTTCCACTTCACAATAACAGCACTTACAGTTGACCAGGGCAGCTCTAGCAGGGCAGAAATTTGGCGAACTGACTTGTTGGAAAGGTGGAATTCTATGACGGTGCCCCTATCCGAGTTGGGCATCTCCGGCGCGGCTCACTCTTGGATTGCGTCCTACCTGACAGGTCGCTCCTACCAGGTGGCGTGGCGAGAATCTGTCTCCGCACCACGTGCTCTCACCACTGGTGTCCCCCAGGGCTCAGTTCTAGGCCCTCTCCTATTCTCGCTATACACCAAGTCACTTGGCTCTGTCATATCCTCACATGGCCTCTCCTATCATTGCTATGCAGATGACACACAATTAATCTTCTCCTTTCCCCCTTATGATAACCAGGTGGCGAATCGCATCTCTGCATGTCTGGTAGACATATCAGTGTGGATGACGGATCACCACCTCAAGCTGAACCTCGGCAAGACGGAGCTACTCTTCCTCCCGGGGAAGGACTGCCCGTTCCATGATCTCGCCATCACGGTTGACAACTCCGTTGTGTCCTCCTCCCAGAGTGCAAAGAGCCTTGGCGTGACCCTGGACAACACCCTGTCGTTCTCCGCTAACATCAAGGCGGTGACCCGATCCTGTAGGTTCATGCTCTACAACATTCACAGAGTACGACCCTGCCTTACACAGGAAGCGGCACAGGTCCTAATCCAGGCACTTGTCATCTCCCGTCTGGATTACTGCAACTCGCTGTTGGCTGGGCTCCCTGCCTGTGCCATTTAACCCCTACAACTCATCCAGAATGCCGCAGCCCGTCTGGTGTTCAACCTTCCCAAGTTCTCTCACGTCACCCCGCTCCTCCGCACACTCCACTGGCTTCCAGTTGAAGCTCGCATCTGCTACAAGACCATGGTGCTTGCCTACGGAGCTGTGAGGGGAACGGCACCTCCGTACCTTCAGTCTCTGATCAGTCCCTACACCCAAACGAGGGCATTGCGTTCATCCAGCTCTGGCCTGCTGGCCCCCCTACCTCTGCGGAAGCACAGTTCCCGCTCAGCCCAGTCAAAACTGTTCGCTGCTCTGGCACCCCAATGGTGGAACAAGCTCCTTCACGACGCCAGGACAGCGGAGTCACTCACCACCTTCCGGAGACACTTGAAACCCCACCTCTTTAAGGAATACCTGGGATAGGATAAAGTAATCCTTCTACCCCCCCTTACCTCACCCAAAAAAAGAAAATAAAAAATAATTTGTAAAGTGGTTGTCCCACTGGCTATCATAAGGTGAATGCACCAATTTGTAAGTCACTCTGGATAAGAGCGTCTGCTAAATGATGAAAATGTAAATGTAAAAGTCACTGAGCTCTTCAGTAAGGCCATTCTACTGCCAATGTTTGTCTATGAAGATAGCATGGCTGTGTGCTCGATTTTATACACCTGTCAGCAACGGCTGTGGCTGA